AAATGTCCAAGATAATTATACTTTTCAGGCAAGGTGGAAAGTCCTTAGCGTAAGAAAGTTGTTGGATCCTGGGTTGGGAAGAGGCATTGGAACTGCGTATTTTGTTAAATTCTGCCCCACTTGCTAGCTGATTCATTGTGTGGCTTAACTATCAGGGTCACCACTTTTTCTGATGGAAGAAAGCATTAGTAACCTAATCCAACACCAGCAGAACTGCAAACAAACCAGAGCCATTGTTTAAATCCTGGGGTTGGAGTCTGAAATGTCTTCCCATAGTGTAGGAGTAAGGAGCTGAAATTTGCTGTCAAACTTCTTGCAAGCCTGTTTTCATTCTGTTCTTTTCATATGTGCAAATATGCATATATAACAACAACAACAACAACAACAATAATAATAATAATAATTTTTTAAAAAGATGGAAGGGACCTTGGAGGTCATCTAGTCCAACCCCCTGCTCATGCTGGAAACTCAATACCATTTCAGACAAATGGCTGTCCAGTCTCTTCTTAAATATATACTATAGTCAATAACTACCCAACAGTAAAACCTTCAAGGACTCAGTATAATTATACAAAAACTTTATTGCGCCTAGAAGGAGAAATGCCTTTGCAGAAAATCAACTATTACAAAATATAGTAATCCATTTTTCTCTGTGAGTGTATAATTGTATTTGTCAGTTCTGGGGTTCTAGTCCGAGGTCTCTCTTTCCCAACCTGAAATACAGATGGCACTATGACATATTTACATAATGGTCAGGACTAGTCTGTGGCTTTTTGCTTCCTGTCCTATTAGCTTCAGACTTCATAGTAACTCATGAAATATTGTAACCGAAACCATGTCTTTTAGTGAGTTTGTTAACATCATATGTTTAAGAAAATGTACTAAGAAAGCAGAAACAAGGGAAGTTTACAATTTTAAATTAGTTAGACATTATGAGAACAAAAATGTGACCTCTGGCAATAATTTTATGCTTTGAAGATCTAAACTGACTGATTGTAAAGTAAGAAAATGGATTCTAGATATTTTAATTGAATAGCTGGAGTATCTAGCCTCTGTTGTAAATCTTTGGATAGTTAATGAGATTCCTGCATATCCTGTTAACTAAGACACTCTCAGGGTTCAGCCTTTTTGTAGTATTTTTACATAATCTTTGAATGGTATTTTCAGTGATTACTGACATTATTACTGAATTTACATATGAAGGCTGCAGGTAGAATTTTTGGAGAAAAAAGAGAGAATGGTTCAGTCTCCAATGAGAATTTGTGGCATTAAATGATGAAAAAACAGGATATAAACACTACTGTCTGAATAAAAGTTATGACCTCTATGATTTCTTAAGATATGAATGAAGTAGAACTGTTTGAAGCCAGCTAATAAAGATGAAAGGAGTTCCTGACATAGAGAAGATGTTTGCTTGAAACCGGATATGATCACAAATATGTCCTTGACAGTTGAAAATACCATCTTTTATGCTAAGTCTTAATTTACATTGTCACAGGAGACTATCCTAATCTCATAATACCAAAATGAAATACCACTTGTTACAGGTAGAATGGTTGTGTGTGTACCTTTTTTACTTTCATCTGTGTATTTAATAGTGTAACATTCAGAGTAGAACTTATGGATGAAAATGGAAGAAACAAAAAACATTTATATCCTTTGAATAAGTTATTAAAAGATGTTTATAAAATTGTTGTTATACTTTGCCTACCTTCCAGCTGGTTCTTTTGCTTAGCTTGTTTTGAGGCACATAGGAAATGTTGCATAATAATCCATTTTCCTTTTTGGTTGCATATGCTCTATTGATTGTGTTCTTTCAATAATATAAAAAGGACTTTTTAAATGTCATCTGTATTTGGTTAAGCTATACTTGGAATGTTAAATGGTTTGGAAAAGAATTTAGAGCTGCTTTTATCTATTTAATGGTTCATCAGGCTTGGTTATTCTTAGTTAGGAATATCTTGGAACAGTAAAAAGGAGTTTAGGAATATGGATGCTTCCAATTACTGTATAGTTTACAGCAAAGTTTCTTTTTCAAGAGACATTTCTCCATAAACGTTGGCCAGAATTAATATAAATATCAAATATAAAGTATATTGGGAATTTTGCCATGGATGAGGAAATAAATATTTTGATTAATGGACTTAGATAATCTGTAGCTTATGTCAACTTTTTGTTGAATGTGTTGAATGAAATGTGCCATTAATTTTTCAGATAAAAATACTATGGATACAGTTGTTTTAGGATTGGAGTTGTATATGTTAAACATAGTGTCAGCTCAGATTTTCAGGGTCTTATCTGAGAGAAAAGAACATTTGCACTAATACAAAATCTAATGGGAGTTTCCCAGATAATAAGGCAATTGACAGATGTTATTATTTTATACTAAGTGATGTATTCAAATTTCTTCTTGTCTTCCCCCAATAAAATGTTAAGAATTTAAAGAACACTACATAACCAATTTTTAATTATGATAATATTGTGCTTTTCTATAAATCTGGGCATTCCATACAGTTTTCAATTCTGTACAGTATTAGCAAAACAGTTTACTATGCAAACGTTTATAATATGTAGCAAAACATTGTACTATAGCTCTTCTCCTATATTCCTTTTCAAATACATTGAGTCTGAATATTTGGACTCCCAGCCATACTTAATGACATTTTCAAATAGAGCTAACAGTTGAGAATATCACAGTTCCAAATCTTGAACTGTTAAAACCTTATCCAACCATACAATGAACTTTTGTAGGAACTGGAAATGTCTAATCCAAGAGAAGGACTATGGGTGACATGATAGCAGCCCTTCCAATATTGGAGGGGCTGTCACAGAGAAGGGGGGGTCAACCTATTCTCCAAAGCACATGAGGACAGGACAAGAAGTAACAGGTGAAGATCATTAAAGAGAGATCCAGCCTAGAATTAAGGAGAAATTTCCCGTCATTGAGAATAATTAATCAGTGGTACAGCTTGCCTCCAGAAGTTGTGGGTGCCCCATCACTGGAGTTTTTTAAGAAGAGTTTGGACAGTCACTTGTCTGAAATGGTATAGGGTCTCCTGCTTGAACAGTAGGTTGGACTAAAAGACCTCCAAGATCCCTTCCAACTCTGGTATTCTCTATTCCAGGGGTAGGCAACCTTGGCTCTTTTATGACTCGTGGACTTCAATTCCCAGAATTCTTGAGATGCTGGCTCAGGAATTCTGGGAATTGAAGTCCACGAGTCATAAAAGAGCCAAGGTTGCCTAGCCCTGCTCTATACTGTATTCCCTCCCAAATTATTCTGAATTACATGCTTATCAGTATTGGGTTACTCTAATGTAAACACATGATTATCATTGCTACTAGAAATTGATTGTACCAGAGCATATAAAAACCTATATATCAGTGGAAGGCAAAAATCACAAAATTCCACCTCACTTATTTTGACTGTGTCTTGCAGTCAAACTCACTTAAAAAGGCAGTTTTGTTTGCAATAGTCAGCAGTAAAAGGAAACTGTTCAGTCCAGCATAGTTTTCCTTTAGTAGTGCAATAGACAGAACGTTGAAACTTAGAAAGTGATACCTATGAATATGCAGCCATTTAGGAGTGAGGACTACCTTTAGCCAATCTGTCTGCATTTGTTTTATAAATTTCATTCAGTAAGGCAATCAAATATAATGATTGGAATGCTAGGAAAATACCGTTTCAGATGTTCAGTAAAATGATAGCATTTTCTGGATCACCCTTACAGAGTCATGTTCTTTCAGATCAGCCTAAAGGATAGCTGTAATTTTTTCAGAATGCTGCAGAAAAGGCATACACACAAGTACAATCCTGTTTTGTCCCCCTCTCCTCTGCATTCTGATCTGTCATTGATACTGGATAGACACCAGAGATGAGGTTTTTATTTGCTTTGGCTAATTAAAAATTTGCTCCCATTCTTGAAAGACAGACATTGGTAGGTCAGTGACGCGTGTGCTGCTTTTCACAAGCGTGGACTACTGTATTGCATTCTCCTTCAGGCAACCCCGCCTAGATGGAAATTGCAACAGGCCCAGAATGTCACAATATGAGCTATAAATAATAAGGTTATACTAATTTAATACACACCATTTTAAAGACTTTCTTTATAAGTATTAAAGTTCAGGCTTTGCCGATGGGAAAAATACGATTGGAAACCAGTAGTCTTATTTCACAGCTGTTTCAGCTTGAACTTGAAATATAATAGAAGAATTTCTGAATTTTCAGAAACACCAGTGCAGATTTGCGTAAGAATAATTTGTAATGAGTGAATTGGACACAGTAGAGTGAAACAAAAGATGAAGGAATTGTAGATTAACTTCAAAGATGACTTATAGGTAGTGAAATAGCAAAATATTAACTGTACTTTTTTAGACTTTGCCTTTTTTTAAAAAAAAAGATACTTAAATAAACTTTATTTTCCAAACACTAATAAGGTCAGAAATATATCAGCATTCAATATCTGAAACTGTTCTCAAAATAATATAACCTTGAGGAGAAAATTAGGAGACATGGACATTAAGATATATTTTGAAGTCATATACATTCCATGAAAGTGTCATAATTCAGTCATAAAATTATCATATCATATACTTCCTAATTCCATGAAAGTCAGCAACCTTCAAGACTAATAGCCATTCATAGCCAGTCTTCTACAAATTTGGCCAATTCCCCTTTATATCTGTTAAAATTAATGGCTATTACCATGTCTGATGATATATATTATATAAAGAAAATCATTTTTATTCTTCTTGAATTTATTTTATATAGAATTTGCATTTTTGGACAGTTTCTTTTTTATACTGTCAATCTCTAAACTGTCTTGTGAATAAAGTTCTGATTGTACAAATACAGTTGTTCAAAACAACCAAAAGCATTCTAATTTTGCCTCATGTTTTTCAACAAACATTTATAAATAGATAATTGTATTAACTAAATAGAATCGAACTTAAATGTAAGTAGCTGGAATTTTATTATATTTCTTCGTTTTCTTCACTAGTTTTGGATATGGCAAGGCATGTCCCCCTCTATAGAGCTCTTTTGGAACTTCTCCGAGCTATTGCTTCGTGCATATCTATGGTACCATTGTTGCTTCCTCTGACTGGAGAAAATGGAGAAGAGGAAGAAGAACACTTAGAATCCCAAGCTTCGGTTGGAACTCTGTTAGCCAAAATGAAGACATGTGTGGATACTTACACCAATCGATTGAGGTATTTCTTGAGATTGATCGATTTTGAGAAATAACATAATACTCCCCAAACAAACACAAGGGAACTTTCATTTAATTCCATGACTTAGAGCAGAAAATGTTTAAAAAAGAACAACTTATTTCGTTCTTATTTAAAAAAAAATTGTTCTTATTTAAGAAGAAATAGGAGCTTGTAACAGAAGTAATTAAAACCAAATTTGATGGGCCAAATTTGTTCTTATTTAAGAAGAAATAGGAGCTTGTAACAGAAGTAATTAAAACCAAATTTGATGGGCCAAATTTGTTCTTATTTAAGAACAAATTTGGCCCATCAAATTTGGTTTTAATTACGTACTTCTGTTACAAGCCCCTATTTCTCATTAGAATAGATATTTGGAAAGAACATTTCCACATGTAATAAACCTCAAGCAGTTGAGACTTTTTTTCTTTCAACCACCACTTCTGATGAAAAGTAGGAATCTGTCATAAAAAACCTTTCTAGTTTTAAAAGAGTTCTCCACTTAAGAAATGGATAGTACCAAGAATACAAGCAATCAATGCAGTGAAATAGAAGGAAACATTAGGCAAAAATGATAAGAATGTTGGCAGTGTTCCAAAGCATGAATTTCCCCTAAATATTTTAGTCATGATAATTTGTTATGTATGGAAAACAAATTTATTGTTATGTACAAAGCAGGATGTAATCCTGCTGAATATAGAGTAATGGGCAGAGATTTACGGTATACCTAGTACAGTGGTGGCGAACCTATGGCACGGGTGCCAGAGGTGGCACTCAGAGCCCTCTCTGTGGGCACGCGCACTGTCGCCCCAGTCCTAGGCCTTCAGCTGGGTTTTATAAAACCTTTTCGCTTTAGGCCTCCCCCGCCATGTGCAAAAAAAAAAAAAAAGGTTCAGTCAATTTCAACTTCTCGTGGGGAAAAAAAAGGTCTTGCAAAGTTGGAATTGATTGGTTGAACTTTTTAGTCCCACCCAGTCTGCCATTACCACCGCAGCCACGCCCACCCAATGGGCCACACCCACCTAATTGGCTACACCCAGCCAATGGGCCACACCCACCCGGCACCCGACGATGCATAAGTGGGTTTTGGGTTGCAGTTTGGGCACTCGGTCTCTAAAAGGTTCGCCATCACTGACCTAGTACATTTATCCAATGTTAGCATAAGACAAACACCCAAAAAGGAGACATCAGTAAACAAAAGTGAACATTTGAAAATTTAGTTGCATAACTCTAGGAAATTTATTTTTGTAACCAACAGATGCTAGAATTTTGGATACATTAAAACAATAATATTTAATAAATTGAGACAATTACACCAAAATTCAGAGTTGATCTGAATTCCAAAACAAGTATATTGATAAAAGTCAGGACAAAAATTATGAAACCAAATTTATTGTTTAAATAATATGATTGTGCAGCATTTCATAGGGACAATAACCATAACAATTGTCTACACCTTCTTAAGCAAATCCATCTTACTCTGATCTAAGAGCTCATGTCCTGGGATCACACTGAATATTAAGCATTATCTTCTTGTTGGTGCTTCAATTGTATTACAATGTTTATCAAGCCACGCCTAATTTTTAGTTTGTTTTAAAGCAAGGAATTGGAGAGAAAATATAGCCCTCCATCTAGATTTTAAAAAAAAAACTAACAGTTGATTCTAGAACAATTAAAGCCTGGTGTAAACAGGAATCCTGTGGTGAGTTTTGAACAGTACATTTCTCCCATGGCTGGATTTAAATTATGTTTCAGCTATATGAACTTATCTTTTCAAATATTTATGGATATATTGAAAAAAGAATGAAATTGTTGATTCTTATATGCCCAGTTTCTTACTATGCTAATATGTGTCTATTGAATATTGAATATGCATATAGAATATAGAAATCTCAACTGAAATTGTGTTAATATTTGACAGCTGAAAATTATACCTTAATAATTAAATTTGGGCAAAAAGAATAAGACCCAAATAAACCCAGATTCATGTTGGTACATTCCTAACCTCTTTTTCTTCATAATGGAACTCATGCAGAAGATAGGATACTTGTGACATGTTGTCATTGTTCTTCAGAAATAAATAGGTTCATTAATGAGTCAGACCTTTCTAAAGAGCATCTTAAATAAGTCCTTGAGGAACCCCAACATTAAAGAAAAAAAATGGAAAAGTAACTTTAATAAGAGAACTAAAAAAATAAAATAGATTCCCAAAATATACAGTAGAAAAAAAATGAAAGAGTAGTCAACATCTTTCTCACTGAGAATAGAACATAATACAAGCAGAAAATATTGGGAAAATATAATGAAAAACTATAGCAATAATTTGAATAAGATATATTAAAAACAGAAAAGTTATTGTATTGATTCCACAGAAATTTGAAAATAATGATAATGGAGAAAAATATTGTTGCCAACAAAAGAAGGAATGGGTATATAGGCTATCATAGAAAAATAGCTTGTATTAAGCTTTAGAATGAAAACTGGGGGGGAAACCCTGCTCAAGAGAAAGAATGTCTTTAAAAAATTTAGTAAAAAGAGCGGACAGAATATAATACCAAGTAAAAGAAAGCAAATGATAATCAGACAATAAAAATAGAAATTAATAATATTAAAAGGGAACAGGTTTGCCTGTCCCATGAATTATAACATAAATAGAAACGGGGGCAGACAAAATATTTTAGAGCAAGAACAACAAAATAAATTTATATGTTAAAGAGAGCATTCAGAATAAAGAAAATACAACAAAAATATCCAGAATCCAGAAGTTAGATTAAGAAAATCAGATCAAATTATAATTAGTATTTCTCCTGACTCCAGCTAATAAAAAGTTGTTACCAGAAAAAGGGTTTATATTGAACAAAAATATTATTTGTTATACTGTAGATGAAAGGCAAATTAAAATCTGATAAATAAAAGCAGTAAAAACAAGCTGAAAAGTCACGGCCTATTAGCTTTATTAAGAGTTAGATGACAATTGAGATAAACATAAGAAAAATAAATGAAGAAAGGTAGTCAAATTAATCAGACATGAGGAACTCAGAATAAAATTTAAATGCTGATACTTATAGTAATATTCCATGCACATGTTTCAGCATGCTAATTATTCTAGTTTCTGAAATAGATTTTATACACTTAGTTTGCTAGGATTGAAAGAAGCTTTTTATTTATCAGCATTGTCTGGATAGAGAAAAAAGGAAAGAAAATTTGGATATATACATGTATACACAGACATGAAATCTGCTTTTATTGGGGCCATGCAAAACTTTAGAAGGAGGTGCTTTGCAAAAATCTTAGCACCTATCTTTGAAGTTTTTAACAGCTTTGTTCTTTAGATGCTTAAGTGGCTACTTTGAAATCTGTTCCCAGCTGTCTCTGCATGTACATAGGTAAACAAATCATTTTGTTTCATTCATAGTTCTAGTAGAAGTGTGCATGCACATATGAAAAACTAGGGACAGTTTTCATGTAGCCTCATAAGCCTTGCAAAAGATATAGCTTTATTGCTTCAATGTTGTTTTGTTAGAGATGTCCAGTTTATCAGTTTCAAAAAGAATGTGGTTCAAATTATACACATTAAATTTTATTTTTATTATATGGTTTCTGCATTTTAAAGGCACATACTTGGTTAATCTTTCAAGGCAATATATTTAAGGCATGTTTCCTAAATATTTTCACTTATATCAAAGTGTTTCTTTTTTAAATCTTGTCCAATTTTGATCTATTCTGTAGATCAAAAAAAGACAAGTCAAAAACTGGAGTAAAGTCAGATACTTCAGATCAAGAACCAGAGGGGCTGACTCTTTTGGTGCCAGATATCCAAAGGACTGCTGAAATCGTTTACGCTGCAACAACAAGTTTGCGTCAAGCTAATCAAGGTAAATGAGCATGACTTTTTTGTATTCCATCTTTTATCAGTATACAAGTTCTTAACAAGACTGAGATAACAATGAGTTGAAAAATAGAAAATCTTGAACTATGGACAAGTAGATAAAAAAAACATGCAATAATTTTAGAAAGTTAAAAATAGATCAAATGTAACTGATGTAACTAATGTGAAAATATACCTTGGCAAGAACTTCTTTATTCTTCTGAGACATAGAAAAATGAAACATTATCCTAAATTCTTTTGCATACATGTGTCAGGTGTGAAAGATCAAGGCCACACATGAAGTTCCAGTTAAACTGACTTATTGCCTGTGCACAGGATTCTAGTCAACTAACTGTTAGCATTACTTTGGTGCTAGATGAGGGTTAAGGGAATTCAAGAAAGATTGGAATTAAGAAAGGCCTGTTTGGTATCCATTTGTGGCAATGTAGGCCAGACATGTCAACACAAGGTCCGGGGGCCGGATGCAGCCCGCGAAGTGGTTTCATGTGGCCCACGAAGCCATCCTGGAAACAGTGAGGGAACAGCCCCCTCTGCCTTGGCCCTGGCCCAGGCCAGCTGGGAGCCAATGTACAATTTTGTGGTGTCCATCTATGCTGAAACGCATTCAGTCTTAGCTCCATAAGCCTCTCCCCCTGCATGGCCTGAGAGAAACAGTGAGGCTCCTCCAGTGGACCATGCCTTGGCACTTGCTCTGGTCCCACCCCTTTCTGCCAGAGACCCTCAGATCTATCCCACTCCTGCCCAGGCCCCCACAGGCACCCTTGACGCGAACAATGTAGAGCTGGTCACACCCACCCAACAGGCCACACCCACCCCATCCACGCCCACCCAATAGGCCACACCCACCCTGGCTACACCCACCCGCCCCCCTGAGGGCAACCGCAATGCTGATGCGGCCCTCAATGAAATTGAGTTTGACACTCCTGCTCTAGGCTGATTCCCTTTGACTCCATCCCACTCGCGTTACACATGTACTTTCAGTTGGACTACTTTGCTAGAGACTGTAGAATATCCATCAAAGAAGACTATGCTACTAATACAAAATTACTGAAGCTTTTTATTCATTGTGCTTCTGTTTCTTTTTAGAAATACTTTTTAGATAGAATAGGACCAAGCACAAAGTTGGATCCAAAGAAATGCCATTATGTTTGACTGTAGGGCCATCAGTGTAGTGTCTCCACAATTAGGATAAGCCTGTTTTTTGATTATGCAAAATGAATTTTTGCTGTAAAGAAATACTATAGATAAATTTAACAGTAATTTATTAAATATTATGTGTTTTGTTGTAACCATTACAATAGAGAGAAAATTGGCTGAATCCTCTAAAAAAGCTGCAATGAAACCCAAGCCATTGGCAATTTTAAGATCTCTTGAAGAGAAATATGTAGCTGTAATGAAAAAACTCCAGTTTGGTAAGTAAATAATCTATATTATAGCATTTAAAAAAAACCCAAAGGCATCTTTGTGGCTTTTATTGCTTTGAGGCTTAATTTTCAAACACGTTGTTAATGAAATATCTATATGAAAGATTGTCAAAAATGATGTAGTCCTTTTCAGAATGTGTTTAATGATTTAGACAATGCAAGAAGATGCGATCACCCACAACTCCTACCTCCAAAGTTGCATATAAGTTAAAATTTGCCAAAATTATTTTTCTGGATATAAATTACCTGACATTTAGTGCTTGTAATGGAATAAGAGAAAACCAGCCAATGCTAGCAAAACCTTCAAGGAAAATACAACTTTGACCAACAAATTTAAAATAAGCAAGAAAAGTAACATTATGCAAATATATTTTCGGAGGCATTTCCAAGAATAAATATTAGTAAATAAAAATAAATATTAGTGTTACAGTTTGAGGAAGGCTATTGCTGTTTTATGCTATTTATATTATATATATTTTTAATCGCTGTTTTTGTTTTACTTGTTTCTACTTTTTTTATTGTTAGCTGCCTAGAGTCATGTATATAGGATGGGCAGCCATATAAAGTGTGTGTGTGTGTGTGTGTGTGTAATATATATGAAAGAGACAGAGAGAAATTGATTTGATCGCAAATAGTGGTGTTGAACACTTGTTTCATTCTACTTTGGAGGGAAAAGGGAGAATATGTTAAAGAAAAACTAGCACAATTACACTTACAAGAGAGGAGTATGTCCTTATCTCCTGTTTGTGAGCACCAATAGGCATCAGATTGGCCACTGTGAGAAAACTGCTGGACTGAGGAGGGTCTTGCCCTAATCCAGGAGAGCTATCCTTGTTCTTAAACTTAACATGATAATTTACTCACCTTCTCCTATAATTATTGTTATTGTATCATTACTGTTGTGTTTTGGAAGTACACATAATTGGAATAACTTCACAGTTTTAAATTACACAATATGTAGAGGTAGTGTAGACATCAACCGAGGGCAATTTGGACTGACATTTTAATTTTGTAGAACTGTTTTGTAAAAAATATTTTAATTTTCTGATTTGTTTTTATTAAATTTGAATATTTTATCCAGTTAAAGTATATTTTTGCTCTCCTAAGTAAGAATGTAATGCCTTTTATTTTCAGATACTTTTGAGATGGTTTCTGAAGATGATGATGGAAAACTTGTGTTTAAAGTAAATTACCACTACATATCTCAGGTCAAAAACGCCACTGATGCAAACAGTGCTGCTAGAGCCCGACGTCTTGCTCAAGAAGCTGTAACGCTTTCTACATCACTGCCACTCTCTTCATCATCCAGTGTCTTTGTCCGCTGTGATGAGGAGAGACTAGATATCATGAAGGTAAAGCTAGACGTATATCCATTATGCTAGCTAAGTAATACTGATACTTATTTTGTGGAATTTATTGGACCTGGGAAGAGGCAAGGGGCATTTTAGGCCAGTGTTTTTATACATCTCTTTCCCACCTGATAGAATTTGAGTTAGTTAGTTCACTTTTCAAGTCTAGTTTTTAAGATCTTCTGGAAACAGGTTTGCCAGATGCTGTCTCCTAAATTTGTTTTAGTTTTATGAATGGAAAGATTCATAAAGACAGAAGAGCAAAAAGAAAACAGGAGAGACAAGTCATTGAAATAAAAAAAAAACAGCAAGAAGTGAAAACTCATGGGAATATCATTAGCTCCCATCTATTTGGGAGAAGCCAAATAGTCATTCAGAAGTAATAGTAAAGGTAAATTTAGCCAAACACTATTGTTTGAAAAAGTAAATTGTATTGCGATCTGATTTCCTTTGATTCTAAATATAACTGAATTTAACTTTTTCAAAAGGTTTTGATAACTGGCCCAGCAGACACACCTTATGCAAATGGCTGTTTTGAATTTGATGTATATTTTCCACAAGACTATCCTAACTCACCTCCACTTGTCAACCTGGAAACAACTGGAGGGCATAGCGTGAGATTCAATCCAAACCTATACAACGATGGCAAGGTAAATGATTGGTCAAACTCAACTGCAGACCAGAGGGATGAAAGCAAATCTTCTGGTCATCCTTGGTGAAGTTGGTTATCTACAGTTTTAATTTAGTAGGATGACAATATACTGAGATCACAATTTGCTTTGTGTAAAATAAAATATGGTTTCCTGGCAATGCCCCATAAAATACTATTAGGGATTATATGTATATTTATATATTCAGATCCCACCAGTAAGTAGAAACCAGTCTCTGTGTATTGATTGTACTTCTGAATTCAGTGTATAACATCAGAGTTTATTTTCAGTAGAAGACCATGATGATGGGTTTTATAATATACCAGTCACCTCTTGAGGACAGAGGAAGACACTTTACTGTTTCTTAATGTACACAGCACTCATCAGCTTTGGACAGGAGAGAAGCTTGTAGCATTTATGAAGCCCATAGGCTTGGTGTCCTCAACGGTTCAAAATCTTTATTTTCAGGTTTGTTTAAGTATACTCAATACTTGGCATGGAAGACCAGAAGAGAAGTGGAATACTCAGACATCGAGCTTTTTACAAGTATGTAACTTTTTCTTCATTGGTGTATATAAGTCATGAGTTGCAATACAAACCCTGCAACATTTGCATCTTATGTCACAAATCAAGTACATAACTGCATGAATATTTTCATTTTTCCATCATTGCATCTAGCCCCAGATGCCTTGAAATCAAGCTGTTAAGATGATTAAATATAGCTCTTCTATTACAAAATGCATGTTACTCATGCCTACCCCAAACATACTTAGCCAGGGTTTGCAGTAGGTTAGTTTATCAAACATAGCATATAGAACCGTGGTGGCGAACCTATGGCACGCGTGCCACAGGTGGCACGCAGAGTCCTCTCTGTGGGCACGTGTGCCATTGCCCCAGTCCTAGGCCTTCAGCTGGGTTTTATAAAACCTTTTCGCTTTAGGCCTCCTCCGCCGTGTGCAAAAAAAAGAGGTTCAATCAATCAATCAATCAATTTCTCACAGGGAAATAAAAAGATCTCGCAAAGTTGGAATTGAGTGATTGAACTTTTTAGTCCCACCCAGTCTGCCGTTACCACTGCAGCCTCGCCCACCCAATGGACCACGCCCACCCGGCACCCAATGATACATAAGTGGGTTTTGGGTTGCAGTTTGGGCACTTGGTCTCTAAAAGGTTTGCCATCACTGATATAGAACCTGTGGATGAAAAAGAAAGCATTTACTGAATTATACCACAAAATATTTAATCATTTAATTGTTTTCTGTTAAGTAACAAATGGAAATGGATCTGTATTGACAAGAAAAAAATGGCAAAAACACAAGCAAAGTGCTCCTCCCACGAACAGTATCAACTATTTTGTGAGCCTTTTTAAAATCTGTTTAAAGGCACACTAGCACTTTTTAAGCTGTTATGATAGCATATAAGCACTTAAACTGAACAGAGTATCATTTTGTTAACTTGAATTGATCCCTGCAAAGGGGCAATATTAATGGAAAGTTTCAGTTATTTTTATTTTTTTATTAGTTCTAATGTTGGCCTATATCAGTGATGGCGAACCTTTTAGAGACCAAGTGCACAAACTGCAATCCAAAATCCACTTATGCATCGTCGGGTGCCGGGTGGGTGTGGCCCATCGGGTGGGTGTGGCCCACCGGGTGGATGTGACCCATCGGGTAGGCGTGGCTGTGGTGGTAACGGTAGACTGGGTGGGACTAAAAAGTTCAATCAATCAATTCCAACTTTGCAAGATCATTTCTTTCCCGAGAGAAGTTGAAATTGACTGATTGATTGAACCTTTTTTTTTTTTTTACACGGTGGCGGAGGCCTAAAGCGAAAAGGTTTTATAAAACCCAGCTGAAGGCCTAGGACTGGGGCGATGGCGCGCGTGCCCACAGAGAGGGCTCTGAGTGCCACCTCTGGCACCCGTGCCATAGGTTCGCTACCACTGGCCTATATAAAACATTTCTTTTTCTTTCTACAGGTACTGGTCTCTGTGCAATCGCTCATTTTAGTTGCAGAGCCCTATTTCAATGAACCAGGCTATGAAAGATCTAGAGGAACTCCAAGTGGCACGCAGAGTTCCAGAGAATATGATGGAAATATACGGCAAGCAACAGTTAAATGGGCAATGCTTGAACAAATCAGAAATCCTTCCCCATGTTTTAAAGAGGTTTGTGATTGTGGTTTTCTAGATGATCTAACTGTTGTAACTCTAATGGTCTTCTATTGCACCATAATGTAATCTAGCTAAGAATATGACCTAAAACGGGTCCCCAACCCCTGGTCCGTGGACAGGTACCAGGCTGCAGCATGCCAGCAACCGGGCCGCACAAACAAGCAAAGCCCCCTCTGCGGGATGCAGGCAGCACACAAAACCATGCCCCCTCTGGTCCGCAGAAAAATCTCTCACCATGTAATTGGTCCTTGGTGCCCAAATGGTTGGGGACCTCTGACCTAAAGTATGTGTTTATCATGGAGATAAGGCATATAGATTAAGAAGCTACCATTCTTTTTCTCACTCACTGCTCAACTAGATGTCTTTGCTAAGTTTACCAGCAGTACTTTCCTTGTTCCTCAAGAAGTACTATTCATTCACTCAGCAGGGTGGGGAACAGGCTCAAGACCTGTGGGAACCTAACAGGGCAAGTAGACCCAGAACCTGCAAAGACCTATTGGGGCAGGATGAGAGGGAAGACTGGAACAGGGGGGCTGCTGCAGTGTCTCTGGGGTGTTTCAGCAATTGTAACTTCAGACAAGTTTGTAAGTCCCTTTGCTCAGCACCATCATAATTTTGTATGGTCTTTACCTTGAAGATTATCTGTATGTTGATGTATGAATTTACTAAAGCTCTATTTTTCATAGTAATACACAGCTCTTCCATTTTCCCTACAAGCATTCACAAAGAAGAGTACTAAAAATAGTTCTGCAAATTTCTATTATATAAAGTGAAACCTCATTTTAATATACTAATTAAATCAGTTATGCCAATTAATCATAAATATCTGTTTAAAGGAACTAGTTATTCTCCCAAGGCTTGGGGATGGGTAGACATAAAACTCTTGGCTTGTAGACATTTGCATATATAGTGTATTCTTTGGATGGATGACAAGTAGATATTGTATATATACATTTGTATATATAGTGTATTCTTTGGGTGGATTCAGTTTTGTTTACTAACATGTATTATGTATTATTTTTTTTATATTGTTGCTTGTTTTTATATTGTGAGCTACCCAGAATCATTTTGCAGTCAGGCAATGTTTAAATCTTAATAAATAAATTATATCATTGCCAGGAATTTATATCATTTCTGCAATGACCTTATTTGTACAGTTGAGAAACATGTACATTTGAAAAATCAAATCAAATCATATTTCTTCCTGCAAATTTAACATTATTAAAAAAACATATTTTTGAAAAAAATATTTTAAATTAAGAAAATTGGTTTTTTTTTCCATTTTATTTGATTGCTCAGTGTCCCATATCAACCTATGCATACAAATTTAGAGTACATCCTAAAGAAAGAATACATTCAAGGAAAGCAATAGGAAGAAATATCTTGTTTTTTGAGATTAGGTGGCCAATTATGTTTTTGCTAAACAAAGTAATAATTAAATCCTGTTCACTTCCTCTGCACTATACTTGTTTTGTTGGGAGTAGCATTCCTAAAGCATTTGCAATTGTAGAAGTTGGCAGTAGAAACGGAATTACTGATTTATAATTAAAACAATGGTGAGCCTGAACATTGCACAGAAAAGGATTCTGATACTTAAAATACAATAAAAACAATCCAGAACACTAGCTTCCACTTTTTAAGGCCATGAAATGTTTAAGACAATTCTAATGAAATACATAGTTGGCTCCTGTTCTCCTCTTCTTTACTTACTGCCAAACGTAGAAGTGACCTTGCAAGCTTCCATTTGGAGCCAAAATAAATCATGCAAAGCCCTGGCCTTGTTTAAGATTATATATGTGTGTGTGTCTCTCTCTCATCAGTCATATTACCCCCACCATTGTAATACATTAGTGCTTAGTTAACTCCTTGTGATTTTTTTTCTAATATAGTATATACAGTAGGCACTATTGCCAAGTGTTATAAAAATTTTCTAAAGTATTGTGTACAGTTAATAGATAAAATCATTTTTTCACTGCAAAATCCTAATGGTTTGTGGTCCCTTGGTCTATTAGAAATTTGTCCAATAGTAGCATTAAATTAACCTAATAGAAACATAAATAGATCAGTGCATAGAGTGCCCCCCTTCCTTCAATTGTATTTAAGGCTTGAGAATTGTACTGCATAACGTCCCATGTTCTTAGCAAATTTTCTTATATTTTTTGTAATCTTAACCAATCGTAATTAATATTCAGAGACGTTGTTTTTAAACCATTTCTCATCACAAACATAGAATCTATCAGCAGTGCTTTAAAGCAGCTGTATCTTTTCCCACTGTATCTGCCCCATTAACTTAAGAAATGAAGGCGTCCCTTTCATGTTCATGAACATCAGAAGCATCGTGAAGCTGCAATTGCTCTTAATGCATAGGATAAACATGTGGATATATTAGAGCTGTATATCTTAAACACTGGGTGCACAGTTTGATAATTCAAACTGTAAATTAATAGCTAATTCTTATTTCTGTTCCTATTCTTTTTTTATAGGTTATACATAAACACTTCTACTTGAAGAGGATAGAGATAATGGCTCAGTGTGAGGAGTGGATAGCAGATATACAGCAGTACAGCAGTGATAAACGGGTAGGCAGGACTATGTCCCATCATGCTGCAGCTCTAAAGGTAAGAAGCTAAAAATCATATGCATTCGTGGCTATCTTCAGAATAAATGAATATATTATAGTAGGAAGTTCCTTTAAAAACAGACTTTATGCATACTAAAACTGTTGTCAGGTTGAATTGTTTTTATTGTCTTTTTCCTTCTTCCTTTTGGTTTGGAAAATATTGTAAAATATCAGTTAAATTACGCAGCCCTTCTCTAAACCAGAACCTTCTCTATTCAAGGTGTTCCTTTCATTTATCTACATGAGTGGAATATAGTTTTAAAGCAGCTCCATGTTTCCTTTTCCTCTCCCCTAGTAGTGATTAATAATGCTGAAGATCAATAGGGTATGTTTTTCCACCCTTGCTAACAGGGGCCACTAACACTGGTAGTGTTTTGGTGTCTCACATTTCCCTGAGTAAATATTATGGAGAAATAGGAAGGAAAACTGAGTTTTATTGCTTTTAGAATAATCACATTTTGGGCATAGTATATAGGTTCTAGCAAACACTTTTTTTTTACATTTATATTTTGAAGTAAGTGTTATATCTTCCACAATATTTCCCATTAGATTGCCCCACCAGAGTCAGATGAAACAAAATATCTTAATTCTTGCAATTCTTGTGTTCCCTTATGCATTCTGAACACGTGGATGAAACAAGTTATCTTAAAGACAGGACTCTTTTCTCATTCATACCTGCAGATTTCTTGCTTTGAATCTCTTGAACCAAGTAATAATTTGCAATTGAATGTCACTTAAAACACAGTGATTTTCAATGTCATTTCGCATACTTAGCTGGAGGTAGTAAAAATCAAGTGAAATGCCTGCTTTCCTGTATCGTCATACAGGTCAAGATGTAATTTTTAGGGTTAATGAATCCAGGTTTGCTTACTTGTGCCCCAAAAGTATAGGGCATTTGAAGATGTAATATCCTGCAAGCAGTCTCCAATACAAACTTTAATTCTAAACCATATAATTCTTTTACTTCTATAATCACAACTGCTGAAATATAACACATGAAATAAACTAAAAATGCATTTATCAGATTAATAAAATTCTCCTTCGTGATTGTTGTGATTCACAGACATGGGTAATACGTTTGCCTGGAGTCTATTCAGAATCTCCTGGAGCTAACCTAATTTCTTGGGGGAGGGAGATATGCCTAGGCATAGTTCTCACTGAATCCCTTCAATGTATGTTTGTACAACAGTGGTTTTATATTAATTCTTGGAGCTTGTTAGTTCTTCTAAATTCTTAATTCTTTTCAGCTTGTTGAATATATTTTAATTATTTACTGTCCATTCTGCTCATAAGGGATTTTAAGATGCAAGCCGTTCTTCCTTGTTCAGTCACCTTCCTGGATTTAGTCTTCATTCTTCAAGGACCAGTGAAACAGCAGCAAATTAGACAAAATCTTTGAAGCTTCTTTTTTCTTCCACAAAGACCAACCCAGTATCCATTTCTTCCTTTACTTTCCAGTCAACTCTGCCTTCCTCCTTCCTAACCTATTGCAAAACATCATAAAGGATTTCATTTGATTTTCCCACTACTATTTTTAACCCCTCTTTGGAATTTTCCTGATTCTCTCCACACTAACGTTGAAGTATTTTGAAATAATGACTATCACTTCCTTTTATGGAAAACAGTATTTTTAATAGGAGTAATTTTGGCTTGCTGGACAAGAGAACCTGCTTTCATTTTTCAAGAACAACGTAATTCTTTACCCAACAATCCCTTTGTTCTTGAACTTTTGTTTCTGTATCGCATTTCCAAGAAGTCATTACTTTTTTTTTATTTCTGCTTTCTATTTTCATTTCAGTGTCACACACACATTTCCAGTTTTTCCAAGCCCATCCTGAAGTTAGGTCTTTTCTTTTTTCTTTTTTATCAGAGTTTTCCAAGTAGATAGTTGTAGCAATCCTCTGGTTATGCATTCACTGAGCAGCACTGCCCTCTTCAGATCCATTATCACCTTATAAGAATTTACTTCATATGTTGCGTCTTTCTGTGTGGAATTTCTTCCCTGTTATATGCAGGGCAGCTACTTCACCCCAGCCTTTTTATTTTATTTTATCCAACAGTGTAAATTTGTCTGGATCTCTGCTCCACAAAAATGAGTCTTTAGAAATTTAGTATTTTTTTTCAGTTAGGAGAAGTAGGTCCCCTTCCAACCTAGCTTCTTACCAAATGTATGATGGAAAATAATGGTTACTTAAGTGCAGCTATAATTCTTCTCAGAAGCCATCATTTCAAGTCTCAGGAACTGAAAGGACATCTTGAAAGCTGTTCCTAGTCATCTGTACAATGCATGGGATGTGTTTCCCATAAGCTTCCACTTGGTTTTGTATAAGCATATATAACCCATGTATGTGAATTCACTGATAAATGCTTGAATCAACTTCAGTTACAGGTAAATCAACCAATTTTTCTCTTGATCCTGCACTTACATCTATTTGAATGTACCAGCATTCCTAGGAATGCTAAAAACTAAAAAAATGAGAAAGGTTTTATAAAAGATGGTATATCCAAGCAAACTTTAAAGTGTGGTATCAAATAACATGTATAAATAGCATTAGAATGTATAGTTTGTTTATTTATTAAATTTATATGCTTACAATACAATAAAATCATGAATATAAAAATATTAAAATTAAAAAGATCTAAAAACCAAAAGCTCAAACAGTATGGTGGTATGATTATTCCACCAACCACCTCCACCATGGAGCGTGCCTCCTTCGGGACTCCAAGCCAACCAGCAGAACCAGTTTTGAGCCCCTTCTGGAAGGCCAAGAGGCTGGGGGTGGATAGCAAGATTCCAAAGGGCAGGAGAAAAGGCTCTTCTCCTAGACCCCACCAGGTGAATGTGGCTATTGTAAATTTCTTTAAGGTCTGGCTTTTGGTTTGTGAGGTAAATCACTCTCAGTATTATTCTTTTTTAATACAGTCCTGAGAAATAAGTCCCACCCAGCTCAATAGGACTTGTGTCTAATAATTTCTGTACAACTTCTGCTAGGCCTTAATTTCAGCAGGCAAATAGCAACCATCTTTGGCTATTATCACCATATGAAATGTATAATGGTTTTACTGTAACGGAGTCTCGGGCTCAAACTGCTGTGAAAGGGACTCTTTCCTATCTATTTCTCTGTGCACAGCGTCACACAGCTCAGCTGCGGGAAGAGCTTCAGAAACTCCCCTGCCCTGAAGGCTTGGACCCAGATGTGGATGATCCTGACGAGAGATGCAGTGCCATGACTAGTATTGAGGACACTCTCTTACACGAGCAAGTCAAACCAAGCAGCAGTAAAGACCTCCCAAGTGACTTCAAATTATGAGCTATGTTGACATGGACTTGATAGACACACAAGGCTTTGAAGCACAAGCCAAATATGTCAATATTTGTATCTAAGAAGCTAATTATGTAATAGGTAAAGAAATTGAAACTCTAATATGCCCTTCAGGATATACAGTTTAATTCAAGATGATCTTTTATTTACCTGTACAAGAGTGTAAACTTTTTTGTGCTTTTATTTTCCAATTGTGAGAACCACTGATTGGTATGTTTAAAAGTTATGTATACAAGAATGGATAAATCACTGTTATATAAGGGAAGCTACCTTAGGAAAGAATGTTTACTGAATGTTTATTATTTTTTTTTTACTTGTAGAGTGAGGGCAGTTGTAACAGAATATATATTGGTCATTCTTACAGCTACTATTTAAAGTCAGACAGTTTTCACTGAATTTGATAGATTTTACGTTTGGCCATATCTCCATTCTCATATTTGATTTCTAAAGAGAACCTTCTGTATACTTCAATAAAGATCAAATGGACATGCTCCGTCTTATGATTTACTGGTACCTTTTTTAATGATCTTGCCATGAATACATTATAGTTGGAGACTTGCACTTGTATGACTGAATTTATTACAGTCAACATATTTAATTTTATGCTTAACTAATTCTAAAATGCAGTTGAAATAAATGCACATGGTTTTACCTCAGCCAAAATGTGGACTAGTGAATTAATCTTTTTAACATTTTTATTAATAACTCAGTGATTTCTACTCAAGCAGACAAAATATTTCGCACAATGGAACAGAAGAATTTTGAAGATTTCTTGCTCATTATTAAAAGGTATTTTAAAACAGGGAGTTATAATTTCAAATTAAGCAAAAAATACTACTTGAATATTTAGAAATATTTTCTAAAATATTTCATTTGAGAGCTTTACAAATTTCCCTGAGTCAGATGATTGAGCTGTCCTGTCATCTATTTTCCAAATACTATGGTGAGATATTTTTTTGTGGGTATGGTGAGATATTTTTTTTGTAATCAGATGGTTCAAAGCTAATAGATTACTAGGTTCAATATGTGTAACATTTGGCTACGCAGAAGAGTTATATTTAGAAGTAGAAGCAGATTAACAAATACTTGTTGGCAATATTTTATTTAATATTTTAGACTATCCCCATCATCTTCCCAGAATAAGATGTATTTCAGATTAAGCACCTCTTCTTGATGTGTCCTATGGCAGGGATGGAAACATTTTTTAAAGCTTTAAAGCTAAGTTGTGATTGCAGCAAAGGTGATGTGATAATAGCAACAGACTTGGTTTCATACCATCATAAATGGGCACAGTACAATGAACAGCTTCTCTATATTGTATTCATTCATTCCTAGTATTGGGCACTATAACTTCTTCCTTTCATTTGTAGAAGAGAGAGAGAGAGATAGACGAAAAAGTGAAACTTTTTTATATTGTCTGAAAAGTGAATTCTTCAACAAGTTGGCTCAACCAGCATTTAATACAGTAGAAAATGTTACACAAATTCTTCCTTTTGACTATAAAATCATATAAATATGGCTGTCCTGTGGAAAAACCATTTCATTGGCACTGATTGTCTTTGTTTCTGTGGCTCTTGACACAAAAGAACATACTATGACATAATACAAAACTTGCAACTTTTTAATGTTCTCCTAAATAAGGCCCACTGAAGAGCCATAATTGCTAGTATGGCTTTATAAATAGAAAACACATTGTACCATAAGGAGACTGAACTTCAGAATTGGCTTCACTCTAAAGTGCAACTAGCCTCCCCTAGTCGTATGTATGAATGAGACATTGTATAAGGGGGAAAGTGCATGTCAGAAACAAGAACCAGAGCAGAATAATAGATCAATTGTTCTGATGTTTGAAATGGAATGCATGCCCCAAGGATTTCTGTTGGGACTGGTGTGCTTTAATTTATTGATAATAGTTCTGAAATCCAGAATGACCAAGTTTGTATTGCCACAAAATGATTCTGAACGGAAAAATTAAAAAAAATTATGAAATGCTCCCAGAACATCTCTCCAAGTGGGTGAATGGGCTTTAAAGTAAAAGCTATGCTAAGGATAATTAAATACCAAGTGTTCCATGTGTTTCAAAAATTCAAAAATCAAATATACACTTACAGAGTCTAAGCCCAATATCTGTGCTTCTCTAGTTGGCCATTCAGCCACTCAGAACGATGAGTTAGAAAAACCCTGGCCTGATCCATCAGGGCTGTTAAGTGTTGCTGCCATCTTCAACTCTGGGCAAACATTGCTGCTCTCAACTATGCGATTCCTTTTCATAGGCCATCTTTTTAGATTGGTAAAACATTCCAATGTTTAAAAATATATGGGCACGTTCACAAAAGAACTTCCATGGGAAGGCTTCTCTGTTTACAAAAGGGCCACCGTGAAGGGAATTAGTTAAAAAGCATAATTAGCGGAAGGAAGGAAGGAAGGAAGGATTTCTAGAAAAAAAGCTCTCTAGAATGTTTTCTTACAATCTCGACTATTATGCCTTTTTTCCCCCAAGTTGGTGGACACACTTCCAGGCAAGTCTCTGAAATTGTTGTTTCTATTTTTAAAGAATGCTCTGCAAACTTTGGCAAGATGTTTTGTAGTTGGGACAGCAAGTTTGGCAGTGTCAAGAGAAGCTCCCATGAACGTCACAGTGCCAACCGTTGTCTTAACACACAGTCATTGAATACCATTACAGTGGAAACTGCCTACTAGAAAATAATCGGTATAGAGAAAAGGATCTGACTAATAATATGAACTGATTTTTACACACAGCATTCTTGCTTTATTCCAGATTGCTACTTCTGGCTGTTAGCCTTTGAACTGTTTCTGCCCCAAAGTTTCCATTTGCCATCTCTTTCCTTACTCCTATGAATTTTCCTCTTCATAGATGTACAGCTGCATTTAGCTTCATAATATCTGATGGAGATTACGTTGCACCTCAAGATATGTGTTTAGCCTGAGAAGCTCATAACTTCAGAAACAATTTTTCAGAATTGCAGCTTACTCTCTTGGTTTTCTGCTTAGGTTTGAAACTTGTAATTTTCCTTTGTTCCTTCCTTCCTTCGTTCCTTCCTCCCCCTCCCTCCCTCCCTTTGTGAAATGTGTTGTTATGGGGGGAAAATGTTGCTATTACCCTTTTTAGCTATTTTGTTTAGAAAGATAAGTAAACGGTTTTATTTAAACTAAAGTCATCCCGACTTAGATATCTTTGAAGCAGAATGTGTCATTCCTATTAAAGGCATGAAATAATATTTATGTTCATTTATTAGCTTTGTCCTTGCATTTGGCATGCCACCCTGACTCATCAGTTTGTTTTAAAATGACAGCTATTGGCAGTTAATTGCCATTGACAAACATGCTTCTGTATTATATTCCATGTATCTTGTGTGCTCAATGAATCAGGGTTGATTGCTGGGAAAAATGATTATCCATCTAATGACATGTAGAATTTTAGCCGTAAGTTAGGGGAGAGGTCCACAGTGTTTGGTGCCCACTAGAAGACTGTTTATTATGCCACCTGGAGTTTACAGGAGCTGGCATCCTAGGCATCTTCAGGGGACCAGATTGGGAATGAATAATCTAAGGTAGACTATGTTCACAATAAAATGTTTTAGAAGGATATATTGAACTTTTTTTTTTCTTTCGTTCAATCATGTCCAATTTTTGGAGACTGCCTGGACAAGTCCTTGTAGTTTTCTTGGCCGGGTTTTACAGAAATGGTTCCTTTTTAGAGAGATTGATTGGTTAAAGGTAATTTAGCTGGCTGTGTGCCTAAGGCAGGATTAAAATTTACAGTCTCCTGATTTCTAGCCTGATGCTTTTACCACTATGCTAAACTAGTTCACATTGAACTTATAAACTTCCTTTTATGCTAATGAAGAATACCAAATAACAGTCATATACAAAAACAGATTGTACATCTTACGTACTTTTATACTTATTTAAGTGTGTAAATCAATGTAAATTTGAATTTCCTCTTCAAATCTCCTTAATACAGTTTTGTCTTACAAAATATAAAATAAATCACCTGACTTGGATTTTTTAAACAGTAAATTGAATGAGAAAATTCTTTTGCTTCATAGCTTATGCTTTTATCATATATTAACCAGATTTATCTTCCAAGGTTTTGGGTCATTGCCATATTATGTTAACAGTCAAAGTCATAAATATTGTGATTTCTTTTTAATCATCATGACCTAAATACATTCAATTTTGCTCTTATTTATCTCCAGGAGTTAAAATATTCTGCAGTGCTCTTTTGTTCTCCATCTCTCCAACAATTTTCCTTTGTCTAGAGCAGCCTTTCTCAATATGGGTACTTCCCATCATTCCAGTTCACTGCTATGCTAGCTGAGAGAAGGCTTAGTTTACAACATCCAAAGTATTCAATATTGCTGTGCTTCTTGCATAGCAATGTGAGATCAGCACATCACAATCCAAAACCTGGGGACATCAGTTAGATTATTTTTCTTTTAGAAGTAAATAAAGGATTGTTTTAAACAGCGAGAAGAACATCAGTTACTCAAGGTTAACTCAATCCTGCAGTTTGGTTCAGAATGAATAGATTGTTTATGCTGGGTAATAGTGCTTGGAGTCAACATATTATGAGGGTGGCTGGCCTGATTGAGGAAAGCTGTTTGAAATATTTCTAAAACTAATCCTCAAACCTAATGAATAATGGGCTTTTTAGGGGATTGGCTTTCACACCAACAGGATACATGAGCTGTACCTCAGGAGACAATTTATCTTGCTCAAGCACATATTGCCATATCTGATAGATTCATCATCCTAGGTGTCTTGGTCATGATGCAGTAGAACTTTGTCATAATACTGTTCTAGAATATTGTTTTTATTCCCAGGTTCATCTAGAACCCTGAGATTTCTTGGCTGCCTCTATCGTGTCTCTTTAAGAGGAAAGCCAAACAATCTGGATATCAAATGCAAATGAGCTGAAAGGAACAATTCATTCTTGCAGCAAAACATTCATTTAGGGGTTGGATCTGCATATTTCCTTAAGTTCTAGAACTATAGAGAGTTCTAGATGAACTGTAGATGAACTTTACAGACGTAGGCCAGCTCCGTTACCAAAGTGACAAGGGGGAAATCATGGTTTAAGTCCAAAAACACAAGCAGGGATGTACAAAAAACTGAGGTCCCTCCCTAATTTACATGAACATAAATGGGGTGGAGGTGAGGAAGTAAAGCAGTCAGTCAGACTTGTAAGATCCAGTTATTATAGCCAATATTAATAAAAGTAATTTTAGCCTTCAAGTGGAATTGATTTCTGGTTTGGTCTGCATGGTGGGGCTGACAGGAACAAACACTTTTAAGATAGAAACAGTTTATGGCATGGCCTGCTTCTTAAGTCACAACTCATTTTGAGGAATGTACAAAACTACATTAAACTGAGAAATCAGCATAGCATGTATTGATATAAAGCTGATTTGCCCAAACTGTTGTTTTCCAGAAGTTGCACTCCAAACAGCATGTCTCTGTTTCTGC